AAATCCATCTCCTCACATTATCAGCTACCTTTCAAAAGCCAGATATGATTATTTTACTTAAAATCTTATCACTGAAAGCAGCTTCTTTCAAACCAAAAACGTTAATTCACTCTGTAAATCTTTCTTACCTCTCCCAATCTATCTCCCAGTCTTGCTACTACTTCCTTTCAGTGTGCTCCAGAATTTCTAGCAGTTCTGGGACCATGCTATATGGTTGTATTTTTTTATGACTTTAAACTGACTCAAACTTTGGACTTGATTAATTTTTTCCCTATTGGCTTGATAAAGTTTTATCTATCATTTTAATTCCTGATGAACATTTTCTGATTCTCTAAAGTGTTTGTTGTCTACTTCAACCGTTGGTGACCCCTCCTATGCAAGAGTCCCATATCTTTCACGCACACTGATGATCATAAATATTACTACTTATGGTAGCTATTCCTTTACTTGTCCTAAGTACTCCACTATCATTATGAGACATGAAATAAAAGGACCATATATTAAGGACTTTGTGTCTCCAATATTTTGCTTACTTTTTTGACGTAGAGGAAGCAACTCTCAGTGAGAGTTGGTTTTGAATCATGAGAGCACCTTATGTTCTATGTTGGCAAATGGGGAAGGTGGTGATTCTGGACTCCCTAAATATCCCTTCATCAACAAATACATTCCTTCTCCAGTTTAATCAAAGATAGTACATTCTCTTAATTTTCATCAATATTGTGCTTTCTTTCAAAAAGCAACACAGTGTGGAAGTGTAACATTATGTCCAAAGGACACCTATGTGTTGAATCCTAAATGGGTACACAGGGAATTACTTTGAGACATGAAAAGCAGCATTTCGTAACTATGTTTTTGAGAGACAGACATAAGTCCAAAATATCCTTATTTCTGTTCATAAAGGAATGTGCTAATACTTACGTTATCCTATATTTTGTTTTCACTTTTTCCAGAAGTTATTATTAATCCAAATTTTGCTACCCTTCAAAGGATAAGTCAAGTATATTAAAATCATACAGAGCAACAATTTATGTGTGCCAAATATATATTTTCAGCCCCTTAAATTTTGGGGGGAGAAGGGGCTTGAAGAAAAGACTTAGGTGTATTTTGAAAGATAATTAAAGCCAATTTATTTTTCCCAACAACAACAAAAAGACATAGAAAAGAAAGAAAACTTAACTCATGTCTGCAGCTTCAGTTTCATCCCATAAAATTTACCCCATTTTCCATCTTAAAGAAAAAGAAAGACAAAGAAGTAAGGAAAAAGAAAAAGCTCTTTTTCTTACATAGATGATTCTTTTAAATTCTTACATTTAATTCTTACAACATTCTTAAATTTCTTACAGAGATGATTCTTTTAAATTGCCATAATCTGCAGTGAAATTTTCATTTCACTGCACTTTTCATACCTTCCACTTCAAACACTCTTCATCATCACCTTTGAGGTCTACAAATAACCAGATCTCACCCATATTCATTGAACATTTTGCCATATGGCTTGTACTTTACATATCTGCCTGCACTAGATGACTTTGAAATATGTACATTTAGATCCTTTCTAACCCACTGGCCATTCATCATCCCCACTTTCCTTCCTCCAACGATGAATTCAGTACACTCTACAGCATCCCACACACATTATCATCGTCTATGACTGTGCCTCCTCTGAAAATTTAATTCCAAAAAACTGCATCATGGGTATGACATCGCATTGTTTTTCCATACTCTAATACCCAGCATTAATTCATTCTCTCTAGATAAATAGATTTTCTGGAACATCACTTCAAAGTTTTACTCATTAGCATACCCAAATATCTTGTTCCATTTGCTTTTGTAGGGACCAAGAGCAGGCTGCCCCAAGATGGCCCACTTTGGCCTGAAGACTACTCTGAGCTAAAGATTATCAAGACCCTACAGGCTCAAGAGAAACTTTTTCCCCTCCTTTAAGTACATTGAATAATCCAAATTGGGGGTCTTTCCCAGAATAAGGGTTATTAGCAGAAATAATTTTTTTCTGAGTGACCTATCTATATGGTGGGGGCAAACATCTCATTACCAAACATCTGCTCTTCTTTTTGCCCTGTGAACTGCATTTTTTCCCTCTGAAGTCAACCTTCTCTTTAGTTCAGGATGACATATAGACCTCATTTTACCTGGCTCTCTTTGGAATTTCCATGTCTCTGTGGATTTCCTGTATGCACACTATTACATCTGGTTTTCTTCTGTTAATCTGTCTCATATCAATTTGATACTTAGTCCAGCTAGAAGCACTTTCGAAAGGGGACAGGAAATGGCGACACTTTCTTTCACATCTATTTTTCAGCTCTCCCACATTGTCTCCAATGTGTTGAGCACGACTGGGGGAAATCATAGCTGTAGGGATTAGTATTACTTCAACTATGTCTCAGTTTTTCAAACTAAAATGTGGGTAATAAAAATATATTTCATTTTATTGTGTATTTTTGAAGAGTATATAATCCAATTACATGACATGTTTAGTCAGCCACCTGGCACATATAAGCACCTAATAAATGTTAGCTATTATTATGAGAAACAATATTCAAACAGCATTCTACAGATAGATAATCTGACTATGCCACTCAAATAGTGTTCAATTCTTACCTCATAAAAATCATGGCTTTGTTTCTTTCCGAGTATGGTGGAATAACAATAGCAAGTACTCATTCAACGCTTTCTATAAGAACTAAATAAGAATATTCATGTAAATAAAAACATAATAATATAATTAAGAATTTGCATTTCTAAAAGTGGTTGGAACATAGTGAGCATTTAACAAATGTTACCTGTTAATAGATTCAATTGACCTACACTCATTGTCTTGTCTTTATACAAGATTAGATATTAGAAGGGAAAATTGTTAAGAACTATAAATTCCCTGAAAATTCCTATTCTACTTGCAAATGCTCTTAAACATATATTCATCTTCACCACCCTCATTCAAAGACAGAAGAGAAGGAATCTTTCCCCATCTCCTTGCTCAATTATCCGCTCATGCATCCTCCAAACCAACAATCTGCTCTTAGATTCACTGAATTAATAATCTGTGTCCTCTTAAATGTGAACTTTTTCCTTGTGGGAAACAGAACGCCACAACAACCACTGGTGCATGTTCGTTCAGACTCCGAGATCTCTGAGAAAACTCGGGATTGCAGGGTTAAAAAAATAACCCGAAAGGATCCGAGTGAAATGCCCTTGGGACGTGTGTGGTCTGTTCTAAAGTACACAGCAGCAGATGTTTTGTAAAGAGCCACTGCTTCACTTAACTAACCCTGTGTAGGTGGAAGAATGTGCCTTACTAAGCCCCTGCTGTACATCATTATGGAACTATGTCATTGTAGAAGGTATATTAGATTATGGAAAATAAACCTCGGGACCGCAGGCTGTTTGCTCGGGGTCCCCTGTGCCCCACTATACTGTCATCTCTTTTTCTCAGTCCCCTCGCCACCCCGGTCCCCGACTCTCTGAGGTCGACATTTCCTCACCACAGCATCCTCTTAATCGATCCCACTGGCTTTAAGACTCATTAATGTTTTGTTGTTCTCCACTTATCTCAGCCCATTTCTCACATATTTCTTGGGAGAAAATTGAAAATTCCTTATTTTGTAACATCAGTGTGTACTGCCCCTACAGATATGTGAAACTGCTTTTGCAAAGTAGGTCAATGTTTGCCTCAAAACTAATGAGAATATCTCTATTTACTGAGTTTTTTGTGTCTATTTATTTTCACATTCATCTCCTTCATGAGACTGTGAGCATCATAAAAAAGAAGATGCTGAAACCCAGTAAACTCTCATCTGAGTGCAAACCGTATGTTTTTATACCTCCTCTGCAGTCTTAAGTAATTCACATATTCTTTATTATGTTCAATTAGCCAGCATATAGTACATCATTATTTTTTGACGTAGTGTTCAATTCACATATTTTTATCCTGCAATTCATGCCTCTCACCCTCCAGAGATGGCCAATATTTCCAGTCATTTTCTACTCTTGGTTTTCTTCAACTGCTTTCTTAGAATATAATCTTTCAACATTGTGACTACCACGAGTTACATAACCAGAAACCACTGTGCAATAGGAACTTCTTAGATTCTTGCGTAAAAAGAAAAATACTGAATTAATACTTTTTAACCTCTGAGAATATTTCCTTCCTTCTCTAGTACCAAGTCACATTACTCAAATATTCAAATGTCTCTTGTAAACATGCATTGTCATTTCTCTACCTAGAAATATTCTTTTCTCACTTGACTGTCACCTGATTGATCAAAAGTAATATCTCATATAATGACATGAATTGTTGTTCTCTGCAAATCTTCAAATGATGGTTTTCCATTGCAGTGTCCAGACAAAGTCCTTACTCGGGAGTGGTTAAAAATGTATGACAGCAGTGACTCTAGGGACACTGGGGCCTCTGTGGACCAAGATGGTGGCCACGGCTGCCTTGTAATGGGATATTATAATGTTCAAGGGTCTCATCAGGTTTAAGAAAGCCCAGAAGTCCTTTGATTATATCTACAGGAGACATAAAGATGGAGGGTAAACAAGATAGGCCAGAACTATGCACAGACATATTAACACTGGAATAGCCATAGAACACTGTGACTCCCCAGAGTTTGTTTGTGGATAAAGCTCATCTGTTTCTATTTGGGGAAATACTGTTTTTAGAGACAGGCTTATAGTACCCAGTGTCACTGGACTGTTAATCAAATGCTTAGCCCATAGAAAAGGTTGTAAGAAGACAAGCGAAAATGAGTTTAGTGTATACAGCCAGTCTGGCGATTCCTATAGAGCTCAGGAAATAATAAGGCCTGAATTAATAACAATTCATGCTATTTAAAGATCTCTATTTTATTATTCTTTTCCCTTGTACCATTTTACTGTGACCCAATGTGCATATGTGTGGTTACTTTGTAATTCTTCTCACCAGGTTCACAGGGGCTAATATGCACTCAAAGATTCACGTGTATTATCGAGAGGCTCTCAAGATGGCGACCTCTCTGGGACCCAACACCTACAACAGGCAGAACTGGGAGGATGTGGACTTCCCCATTCTGTGTCAGACGTGTCTTGGAGAAAACCCATATATCCGAATGACCAAAGAGAAGTATGGGAAGGCATGTAAATCTGTGCTAGACCATTCACAGTGTTTTGTTGGTGCCCCGGGGTCCGCATGCGTTTCAAGAAAACTGAAGTGTGCCAAACTTGCAGTAAATTGAAGAATGTCTGTCAGACCTGCCTCTTGGACCTGGAGTACGGGCTGCCCATCCAGGTTCGTGATGCAGGATTGTCTTTTAAGGATGACATGCCAAAGTCAGATGTCAACAAAGAGTACTACACACAGAATATGAAGAGAGAAATTTCTAACTCTGATGGAACGCGGCCGGTTGGCTTGTTGGGGAAAGCCACCTCCACCAGTGACATGTTGCTCAAGCTGGCCCGGACCACACCCTACTACAAGAGGAATCGACCCCACATTTGCTCCTTTTGGGTAAAAGGAGAATGTAAGAGAGGAGCGGAATGTCCATACAGACATGAGAAGCCAACAGATCCAGATGACCCCCTTGCTGATCAGAACATTAAAGACCGATATTACGGTACCAATGACCCTGTGGCAGATAAGCTTCTAAAGCGGGCTTCAACAATGCCTCGTCTGGACCCACCAGAGGACAAGACTATCACCACACTGTATGTTGGTGGTCTGAGTGATACCATTACTGAGACTGATCTAAGAAATCACTTCTACCAGTTTGGGGAAATTCGAACGATCACTGTCGTGCAAAGACAGCAGTGCTCATTCATCCAGTTTGCCAGGAGGCAGGCTGCAGAGGTGGCTGCAGAGAAGTCATTTAATATGTTGATTGTCAATGGCCGTAGACTCAACGTGAAATGAGGAAGGTCCCAAGCAGCCAGAGGAAAAGAAAAAGAGAAGGATGGAACCACAGACTCTGGGATCAAGCTTGAGCCCGTTCCAGGACTGCCAGGAGCTCTTCCTCCTCCTCCTGCAGCAGCAGAAGAAGCCTCTGCCAACTACTTCAACCTCCCCCCGAGTGGTCCTCCAGCTGTGGTGAACATTGCACTGCCACCACCCCTTGGTATTGCCCCGCCTCCACCCCCAGGTTTTGGGCCACACATGTTCCACCCAATGGGACCACCCCCTCCTTTCATGAGGGCTCCAGGACCAATCCACTATCCTCAGGACCCTCAGAGGATGGGCGCTCATGCCGGCAAACACAGCAGCCCCTAGCACATTATCACCACTCCGGGGCTTTACAAAAGAAAGGGCGCTTAAAAATCCCAGTATACATGGGCGCCTGGGTGGCTCAGTCGTTAAGCGTCTGCCTTCGGCTCAGGTCATGATCCCAGGGTCCTGGGATCGAGTCCCACATCAGGCTTCCTGCTCGGCGGGAAGCCTGCTTCTCCCTCTCCCATTCCCCCTGCTTGTGTTCCTGCTCTCGCTATCTCTCTCTCTGTCAAATAAATAAATAAAATGTTAAAAAAAAAAAATCCCAGTACACGAATCTTGGAATAAGTATATTTTTCCTCGCTTTGTGGTTTCCATGGTAGCTGAATGTGTTCAGATGTGGGCAGTCGGAGAAAGACAGCCGTGCTTCCCTACACGTATTCCAAGGATTAATGGACCTCAGATAAGCTGCCATTAACACATCTGGTTACTACTATGACATTACTAATCAAACTTAATGCCTGTTCTCTTTACTTCTATGGCGAACAAGCAACGGGGTGAATTGCAATGTCTAACGGAGTTACCATCCCAATTGTATGTTCATTTTGTATATTTTTGGGGGGGAAAAATTGACCCACAGTAAAATCTTTTTGACCATTTTTATGTCCATTGGGTATTTTTCCTTTTATCATCTGCAAGAAGATTACTAGTACTAATCATTGTAGTGGCATGAGTGTGATTTAACACTTCAGAAGTCAACATTAAAGAGACAAGTAGAAACCGGCACCCAGCACAGCCCAGATCTTTTCTTACCGCTCCTTTCCTCATTTATTACTAAAGGAATCTGGCGGATAGTTTTACCTCTCTGCGCTACCAAAACAAGACAAAAACAAAAATTGCTTTTTAATTCCCGTCAATTGGATGGAAACAGAAATGTTATGGAGCTGCGTATTATTGAAGAAATCTAGTGTCTGGGATGAAATTATTTTAAAGAGCTTCCTGTAAAACACGTGAGCAAACTGAGCCGAAAGGCACCGGCGCGTGTTGCAAGACCTGTGACCTGCAGCTAGCTGGGACTGTCACCTCTAGCATTCATCTTCGTGTGTCTTCAGTGTCACGTCTTCAGCCCCTGCTTCTGGCCAGGGCACTCTGTTTGGTCTTTGAATGTTTGGATATAACTGAATTGTAGATGGTAAAAATAATTGGATGTTGTGTTGTGTTTTTTGTTTTTAAAAAATTAAAACGGGTCAATTTTCAAAAAAAAAAAGATTCATGTGCATTATCTATCCTCCTATCAGTAATTCATAAGTTATATTTCTTATTGCTCTGGATTTTAAGTCTTTGATATTTTCTAATATGGTAAATAAGTTATACTGCAAGTTTTCATACATTTCAGACACTGCATTTCTTTTATTGTTAATGTGTCTGAGAGTCCTCGCATATGCTGGAGAGGCACCTTTATGTCATTTGTGCTTTTTTTCTCACATAAAGTAGTTGGTTTAATTTATTGATTATTTTTCTTGCTGATTTTGAGGTTTTCTTGTTGACTTGCAGGTGCTTCTCAGATATTCTAACCTAAAACTAGTGGTAAACTCTGCCAATGACTTCTATCTGGGTCTTACCTATTAATGTTCTCCATGATGCCTTTAGTTGAGAAAAAAAAAATGCTCCATTTTGATGTAAAGTTATCCAAATTTTGCTATTTTTTAAGAGTTGACCCTGCTCTTAACATTTTCCCCACTTTTCCCCTTGGATTTTATCCCTGAAGACCTATTTTCTGGACTCATTTCCTGTCTAAACTCTGAAAATCTAGAATAATGACCCTGTACCTCTGTGTTGGCCACTCACCCTCCTTCCTTTCCCCTGTGGATTCTGAGTGGTGTGTCACTCTTGGCTTTTACCAGCCTGGCCCATCTCACCCTTTAAACACTAGTTCTATCATTTTCTTTAAAAATGCACACAGTTCATTCTTTCTTTCCCTTTCTTGTTCTTGCTCTTTTCTATTTGAGAGCTAGTTCCATTAACTTCAAAATGACCTTGAAAGTGCATAGAAGTAATTATCTTTCATATTTTCCACGACATTCATTTCCATATCATCTTGTCCATCTATCTAGGTGTGGTTATCCCTCCTGGGAATAATATGAATTTTCCCTGAATGAAAAATTATGGGTCTTGGGCCCTGTTAGTAAATTATATTGCAAGGAAACAATCAACAAAACTAAAAGACAACCTATGGAATGGGAGAAGATATTTGCAAATAACATATCTGATAAAGGGTTAGCATCCAAAATTTATAAAGAACATATCAAATTCAACACCCAAAAAACAAATAATCCAGTTAAGAAATGGGCAAAAGATAGGAATAGACATTTTTCCAAAGAAGATGTACAGATGGCTAACAGACACATGAAAAGATGTTCATCACTCATCATCAGGGAAATGCAAATCAAAACCATGATTAGATACCATCTCACACCAGTCAGAATGGCTAAAATTAATAGCACAGGAAACAACAGATGTTGACGAGGCCGTGGAGGGGAACTCGCTTACATTGTTGGTGGGAATGCAAACTGGTGCAGCCACTCTGGAAAACAGTATGGAGGTTCCTCATAAAGTTAAAAATAGAACTACCCTATGACCCAGCAATTGCACTACTAGATATTTACCCAAAGGATACAAAAATACTGATTTAAAGGGGCACATGCACCCCACTGTTTATAGCAGCATTATCAACAATAGCAATACTATGGAAAGAGCCCAAATGTCCATTAACTGATGAATGGATATAGAAGAGTGGTGTGTGTGTGTGTGTGTGTGTGTGTGTGTGTGTGTGTGTGTGTGATGGAATATTACTCAGCCATCAAAAAGAATGAAATCTTACCTTTTTTGCAATGATGTGGATGAAGCCAGAATGTATTATGCTAAGTAAAACAAGTCAGTCAGAGAAAGATAAATAACATATGATTTCACTCATATGTGGAATTTAAGAAACGAAACAGATGAACATAGAGGAAGGAGAGGAAAGAGGTAGGCAAACCATAAGAGACTCTTAACTACGGAGAATAAACTGAGGGTTGATGGAGGAGAGGTGGGTGGGGAATGGGCTGGATGAGTAATGGGTATTAAGGAGGGCACTCGCTGTCATGAGCACTGGGTGTTATATGTAAGTAATGAATCACTAAATTCTACTCCTGAAACCAATATTACACTGAATGTTAACTAACTAGAATTTAAATAAAAACTTGAAGAAAAAAAGAAAACATACCATATGTACTTCAGTTGCATAAAGCAGCCATTTCTAGCCTATTTAAGTATAAGGACGTGTTTTGGGTAAGCTTTTTATCTACTTGTATAAAAGATAATTTTGCTTTCAGCAATTGTGTATTGAAAAAATACATTATGAAAAATATGGCTGTAACAAACTAATATTGAATTAATTGCACATTATTTATCATAGAATTTACATACTCTGAAAAACAGATATGTAGCTAACATTTATTAGGTGCTTACTATGTGCCAGGTGGCTGACTAAACATTTCATGTAATTGGGTTATACGCTCTTCAAAACTACACAATAAAATGAAATGAAATGTCAAAAGGACAAAAAAAATAAAAAATCCATTATATAGTATTTTTTGTCCTTTTGATCTCTGCCTCTCATCATCCACCAAATATTCCTTTTCTACTTCTACTTAATTATTAATAAATCTGCTTTGGCAATATATTAACTAACTAAACAACTAACTAACTAAATAAATAAACAAATTATATTATGAAATAAATGTGATAGCCTAATTTTATGCCCACAGCACTAACATCATTTTTAATAAATGATACATGGTTTTAGGGGTTGACAAGAATTAAGATGTTCTGTGACAATTATCACTCTAACGGAAAGAAATTGGTCTTGATCATAATATTAAATCTAAGTTTGGTTTCACATAAGTTACCATGTAACTCTATCAGGTTATATTTTCAGCCTCAAGAAGCTAGTATTTTTCTTCATAATAGTTTAGACCACAACCAGCTTGCTCCATATAGTTCACACGGAGACATAACTTTAGCTAATGAAAACAAGGATTATAATTTGCATCAAAAGGCATATAAGCTAATTATATTTAAGTATTCTGTGGTGTTTACCATCACAGAAAATCTTCTCTCCATTTTTAAAGCTATTCCTTTCACCAGTGTTCATTTGCCACAATTACGGTGTTAGATACTTTAGAGCTCAGAGAGAAAAGTGTGGTCATCCTTCCACAAATTATTTCCTAAATTTAAAGTTAAGCCCACTTTCTTGAGAAATCCTGTGGAGAATGTTTAATATTAAATTTATTCAGCCAAGATTTGGTGATGTTTAGAAGTGTTTCTGTAACGTTCTAAAGCCTTATTCTGATTTCTTTTTGTTCTTCCATTTTGTCATCATGGAAATATAGAATAAATTCAAGAAAAAAATTGAACTTCAGAGTTTAATTCAAACATTTTGTCAAAATTTTGGGAAATCTTCAATACACAACTTTTAAAACAAAAAGTATATCTTGACAATTGTTATAAAATTAATAAATATTAGCTAATGACCCCCAAAGGTATAGAAGTTATAGAATAGTATATATTTTAACCTAAATAGAGATTTCACTGTTTACATGTGTGATATTTATCTCCAAAAATCTTTTGCTAACTTACATTCATATTAAAAGCATATACAGGTCTCTGTATTTTAACAATCTCAGCAACACTGGATCCTGATAAACATATTTTATTTTTCCAGTTCTATACCAAATATGAAATTGTATTTGACCTCTTATTTTAAATTTTGTGGTTATTTAATTTTAAATGAGATTGAACATATGTTAATATTTATTGACTATTTCAATTTCTAAGTACTGACAACTTAAATTCTATATCTTGTTTTTATTGGTTTATATTGTTTTATTGTCATAATAATTTGTAAGTATGTTTCACCTGAGTAAACTAATTTTGCCATATGTTGAACTGCAAATAGTTTAAGAGTTTGATATTTCTTATTATTTTTATGTATCTCTATGTGTGTATATGTGTTTGTGTCAAATTATTGATTTTCATTTTATGAACAGTCCTTA